GGATACTGTTACACCTGGCTTAGCTGTGCAAGGAGCCCATTATACTTGCCATTCTCACTCTCATGAATGCTGTTGCTGCTTTGGTGGAGTTTCAGCCAGTCATGCACCTCTCAGATTTGGTGTCTGCGCACAGGTGAGGACACAACAGTGTGATCAAGTTGTTTTTTCTCAGCGTAGAAGCTGAGAGGTTCACAGATTATACAGAGGGAGATGTTTCAAGATGTAAAGATAACTGGCTGCTCCAATGTGAAGGGTAAATGAGGCAAGTTGTATCGAGTGCTTTGAGTGTTCAGGCACTGTACAAGAACCAGTCCATTCACCATTAATCATATAATCATATGCAACGATACTCGTATCGATATTGAACCGTTCGATACACATATGGATGAACAATACAAAGTTTTTAATATATTTTATCAACTTTCCTTCTGACGATGCTGTCTGTGTTGAGCGCTCAGTGGATCTGCGATCGACAGTGCAGCCTAGGCGGAGTAGTCGAATGCAGATTCACTGAGCGCAGGGCAAGCTAGCAGACAGAAGTTAAGCTCTCCTTGCAACATGGCAAATTGAACCTCTCCCACCTTCATTCAGATCTGGCGTTTAGAACTATTTTGGTCTTCATGTGACGTATGACCCTGAAGGTAAGCGCGTCACGGACTAAAGTAAAACAGTATGTGGGATGCGCCACGCAATGCTCAATTACATTGGTGGGAACTAGTGTGTTAGCGCAGTTAGCTTGTTAAGGTGTTGGCGGTCCAGCCCCACACACAGGGCGATCTGCGGTAGCTCGTTAACGGAGATTTGTCGTGTTGTGGCTTTAACGGCATTTCAACGAGAATTAACGCTGATAGCACTAGTGGGAACACAACGAATATGACTGCACATTTACTCCGACTTTGTTGTTTCAGCAACATTAAATTTAAAAACTGTACTTTTGAGTTAAAATATATATTTATAATTTTAATAAATGACAAATTAAAAAGGCATGAACTTTTTTTGTATCGAAAAAATATCGAACCGTGACACCAAAGTACCGAACCGTGAGTTTTGTGTATCGTTGCACCCCTAATAAATATATATATATATATATATATATATATACACACACACACACACAAACACACAGGGAGTGCAGAATTATTAGGCAAATGAGTATTTTGTCCACATCATCCTCTTCATGCATGTTGTCTTACTCCAAGCTGTATAGGCTCGAAAGCCTACTACCAATTAAGCATATTAGGTGATGTGCATCTCTGTAATGAGAAGGGGTGTGGTCTAATGACATCAACACCCTATATCAGGTGTGCATAATTATTAGGCAACGTCCTTTCCTTTGGCAAAATGGGTCAAAAGAAGGACTTGACAGGCTCAGAAAAGTCAAAAAATAGTGAGATATCTTACAGAGGGATGCAGCAGTCTCAAAAGTCTCAAAAGCTTCTGAAGCGTGATCATCGAACAATCAAGCGTTTCATTCAAAATAGTCAACAGGGTCGCAAGAAGCGTGTGGAAAAACCAAGGCGCCAAATAACTGCCCATGAACTGAGAAAAGTCAAGCGTGCAGCTGCCAAGATGCCACTTGCCACCAGTTTGGCCATATTTCAGAGCTGCAACATCACTGGAGTGCCCAAAAGCACAAGGTGTGCAATACTCAGAGACATGGCCAAGGTAAGAAAGGCTGAAAGACGACCACCACTGAACAAGACACACAAGCTGAAACGTCAAGACTGGGCCAAGAAATATCTCAAGACTGGTTTTTCTAAGGTTTTATGGACTGATGAAATGAGAGTGAGTCTTGATTTTCATGCAGGACAATGCTCCATCACACGCGTCCAAGTACTCCACAGCGTGGCTGGCAAGAAAGGGTATGAAAGAAGAAAAACTAACGACATGGCCACCTTGTTCACCTGATCTGAACCCCATTGAGAACCTGTGGTCCTTCATCACATGTGAGATTTCCAAGGAGGGAAAACAGTACACCTCTCTGAACAGTGTCTGGGAGGCTGTGGTTGCTGCTGCACGCAATGTTGATGGTGAACAGATCAAAACACTGACAGAATCCATGGATGGCAGGCTTTTGAGTGTCCTTGCAAAGAAAGGTGGCTATATTGGTCGCTGATTTGTTTTTGTTTTGTTTTTGAATGTCAGAAATGTATATTTGTGAATGTGGAGATGTTATATTGGTTTCACTGGTAAAAATAAATAATTGAAATGGGTATATATTTGTTTTTTGTTAAGTTGCCTAATAATTATGCACAGTAATAGTCACCTGCACACACAGATATTAATGAGTTTTTTTGGGTTCATTGAGAACATGGTTGTTGTTCAATAATAAAATTATTCCTCAAAAATACAACTTGCCTAATAATTCTGCACTCCCTGTATATATATATATAGATAGATATGGAATATAGAGGTTGGGACTTGCAGTGTTTATGCAAAGTTTTATCATGATTGGTTTACTCGTCTAGAGTGATAGAGAACACACACATGCTCTACGATCATAGTATGAACAGCACTGAGCTGCTGGCATTTGGATGATTAACTGCTCATTAACAAATATCTAAACAGGTGTGCCTAATAAAATGGTTGGTGCATGCAAATCTCACCCTTTATTTAGTGACAAATGATAATCGTGACAACAGATTTGAAATAATAAGAAATGACTACTTTTTTTTTCTCACATTACTGTATTTTATTTTGAAGGAAGACTTGCTGTCGTCTGTAACTGCACTGTTAATACCATGTCCTCTCATGTACATGTCCAAAAAACATGATACAACAGTAGAGACAGGTGGTTTATGTGCTCTGGAACAAAGAAAATAAATCAATTAAAAAAAATCCAAACTACAACAAGCACACAGGAGGTGCAAGAAATCTAGAGTGCGTTTGCTTGTACAAATCAAACTGCAAAATTTCAGCTGAACGCACGCACAGTCACACCAGCTGTCCAAGCGGACACACTGAGGATCATTGAAAATAAATTAGGATACACACACCCTGAGAATGTCTTTCTGCTGTGACCTTTTCCCATTGTTAGCAGGGTTTTAATGAAGGTCAACTTTGTCTTTTAGTTGCACATAAGCAGTGAGACACTCCTTTAATCCTTTGCAAAGCAGTTTTGAAAGCCCACATCATGGGTCACAATAATAATGACAAACCACTTTAGACAGCTTATGGATGCTGACATTAAAAAGGAGTCACTGAGACTGAGTAATACTTCACGCATTTCACTCTCACACACACAAAAAAGAATGTGGAAGCACACTAACACGTCTGGTATCGGATGAGTACACGTTGTATAGTGCATTTCTGTCTGTGTTGTACAGTCGAAGCAGAAAAATGTAGGAGCAAAAATATCTTAGAAACTTTTTGCAAGCATTGGCAAAAATATGAGAATGACCTGCACCATGAAAAGGCTGATTTCGAGCTCCATTAGCTTCTACAAACAGGTTCAAGCCTTCAGTTTTTCATATCATTTCTAAACTATGTAAATATCCTGTACTTGCTACTTTTTAAATGTTACATATCTGTGGCTCTTCCCTGTTTTTGACACAATGATACAGTGTTGCAAAATTTACACATGGTCATAGTTCCAAATAGCACACACACAAAAAAGCAAGCTTCCAGAAAGTGGCCAAACAGAAGAAAGTGGAGTTTTAGGGAGAGGAGACCCTTAAAGAGACTGGTCATTACTGAAACATGTGCAGTAAAGCCCCAGCAGTTTAACTACTTTCTGGATATTATGGTTAGATTTTATTTTTAATGTATTTTTAAATAAATGGCACTGACCACAGCAGAAACACGCAAATTCAGATTTCAGGATGGAGTTCTCCTGTCAGCATTTTGGTTAAGCACGCGTATAATTTACATACACAGCACAAGTCCAGTATTTTTAGTCAGCCAGTGTAAAAAAGGCACATTATCACTGCATAACAGAACAAAACCAGTAAAGGAGGAACAGGGTCAGAGGTCAAACATTAGTGATGGGATTTCCAGCTCTTTTTAGAGAACCGGCTCTTTCAGCTCGGCTCACTAAAAAGAGCCGGCTCTTTCGGCTCCCAACCGGCTCTTCAGGTTGTTTTGTTGCTTGGTGGTTTTATTTATATATGTTTATATATAAATATATGTGCTGGCCCCAAGAGACAAAACACGTACAAACTCCAAAACACATTCCTAGCGTTAACTGAACTTCAAAACAGAGCTACCTCGATCACTTAAATTACACAATTGAAAGCATATGTGTATTGTTTGTGTATTTATACACAGGCACTCATATATATTCAAATAATTAAAAAAAAAAAAAGTTCATTTACCTGTTACTACCACACACCAAATCTGGTCGTTGGTATTTGCTGGCTTGTGTAGCCACCAGGTAACAAAAGCTCAACACTGTGCCTAGCATCCTGGAGCACTTCTGTTGTGTTTTGTACGTGCTTCTTTTAACTATATGAATGTTCAGCTTTTTCCTTTTAAACCAATTTAAAGTGAAACAAAACAAAACACTGGAAAGCACAACACAATTAAATATAAATAAAAATAAGATGCATATCCTCTATCTTATGGGCCTGCATGAATAAACTTTCTGAATCCTTTATCATCCACAACTGAATACAGTTGACGTTGTTGTCCCTGGCTCTCTTTCTCTCTCCCTCCCGCTCTGTTCCTGTGCTACTGCGAGTATAACTACCGCCCCTCCCCTCTCTGCCCAGCACAAAGCACAAAGCACAAGGCTCGCGTGCGAGTGAAGCGGAAAAAATGTGCGAGAGAGAGGGTGAGAGAAAGAAAGAAAAGAAAAAAACTCCACGGCTCGCGATAAGGAGCCGGCTCGCGTCGTTCACGTCAAAGATCCGGCTCTAAGAGCCATTTCGTTCGCGACCGACACATCACTATCAAACATCACTTCCCAAATCCCGGACATTTCCAAGACAACAGGAAGTCAGGTGGAATCAAACCAGCAGTCACTGAGACGACATCTGGAGTTTTATCAACCCACACTGAAATCAATTATAGAATTCTTTAATTCAGACTAATCACTGGTTAAATTGGATACAATAATATCAGGATGAATTGTTTCTATATGCAGACAGCAGTCAGAGGTTAACTGCAGTTAAACACCTGACAAATGTCATTTTCGAGCTACTTCTCTGCACTCATCTACATTTTGTTCAGTCCTTCCAAACTGAAGCCAGTTCTTATCATGCCCCAAAGGATGGGATACTTTAAAGAATAAAGACATTTTCTGACGTTGGCTCTGGTTAGAGAGTGATGGAATTGACACCGACTCAGCACCTATACTGATAAAGAAGATTTAAAGTATTCAACTAGTACTGATCTACTGGCTCACAAGAGAAACCATAACAGCAACAAAAAACTCTAAGTTGGTGATGCCCAATAGAAAAATGGGAGTAAGCAGCATTAATATGATGATTTTAGTCTTTTCAGAATTGTTACACCCATTGAAACCAAATCGGTTCGGCCTTATAGCTGTACGAGCCTTTAAAACCTTTAACAGATGTGAGGATATCTCGTGTTGATCACTTAGTTTTTCTTTTTAATTGCTTGTTTTTCCTTCTTACTTTCCTCATCTTTAAAGAGATTAGGTTTAGCTTCAGTTTCAGGTGTACAGATACAGACAATGTCATTCCCCCCCCCTTTTCCAGATATTTTTAAGCTTGATGATGTTGGTGGCTGTTATTCAATTTGTGAAAACAGTACTGCTACTATAAAAACCAGTAACGTCTGTTCCCTCTTTGTTTTTCCTCATGGAGGGTTCATGAGCAGCTTCACTGATATAGTTTCACAATTTTATGGTAACTTCTTCCTTGTTAAGCTACAATTTTAAGTCACATTTCTGACTGGTCTCTTCATTACATTCATTTTACTTTATTTGAAAAAAATAAAAATAAAAAAAGTATGCAGCTACTGTTTCATCTCCTGGTCACGTCACTGGGCCAATCGCTCTCAAAATAAATAGCTGCACACAACCCCTAACTCACAGGCTGGACCTTTACCGATACGGACAGCTCAAGATGTGAACAGTTCGATTATCCCTCATCGCTTTTTGACTTGTTTTGGTTTCCGTTTTTCCCTCAGCAGGAAAACAGAAGCAACGTATTTTTCTAGCTTGCTTATGACACTCACAGGGTCAGTGTGTGACTCTAGTTTCCCAGCTTCACTGGGGTTCATTTATGAAATTAGAGCAGATGAAGGATCATCACAAGAATTCATTTAGTTTTATTTAATTTAAATATGAACCTCTTTTTCTCTCTTAAGCCCGCCAGTACCCTCCTATCACACAGGATCCAACCTCCTCCAATCAAATTGCAGGAGTTACAACAGGATGGGCGGGGCTACCACCTGGAGAGACAATGGCGTGAAGCAGCAGGTGAGATGAAGGGCGAAGGAAATGGCCAGACAGCCCAGAACCCTTTGGGTGCGTGTTGTGTCATCATGGCCGACTGTTAGTCATTTAGCACCAGCGAAGAGGCAAGAAAATGGGGTCTCTGATGGAAGTTTGCAGGCGCAAAGCAAATGGAATGTGAGTAAGGGGAAATGCAGTTTTTAGTGCAATTTTTTCCTGTCATGTGATGTCCCAGTTCTCTAATCTACACAAGCTTTGACCAAATGGTATCTGTTGACGGTTTAACCTCTCTGGTGAAATAAAATGATGAATTTAAGTAGCATAAAGAGGTTTTGAAAGGCAGATATTAGTCCCCTCTAAAGACCAAAACCTAAAGTAAATGTGTGTGTGGGAATACATTTGCAGAAACCATTTGGTCCTTTCTTGGTGGCATTTCCTGGTTAACTGACACTCTTGTTGGAGAGGTGGTGTGGGCTTGTGCGTTTGAATGAAGCTTTTTAGAAGAAGGCCTCGAGCTCCTCCACAGGTAGCCCTGCTGCATCAGAATGTGTGTCTTGAGTTTCTATGAGAGCTTCTGGTTGGCGAAGAAGGATTTCGCCTCTCCGCAGGTGGGGTTGGTGCACAGCGGACAGCGCAGGGTCAGTTGACGGGAACATGGCTCGTTGGACTTCAAGTGGGACTGGACCAGGTCTGCCAAGGCCTGAACGAGATAAATGAATATCAGCAGTCAGACAAGTATGTTCAAACTGTGCCTCACAGATTAGGGCTCCATATAACCAGTAAACAGATGGCTGGAGTCAGCATTTTAATTTTAAAGGCTAAAAGAAAGTAGGCCATCTTAAGTATAACTTCTACATTGGGCACATATCTGCAAACCTTTCTGAAACCCTACGCTGTAACTAATGCTGTAACCCGGCAAAGCAAATATATATTAAGCTTTAAAAGGCATAAAGAACACAGCACTGAAGCAATGGTGGTGGTTACTATAATCAGAATTGAAACCTTTGTGGGTAAAAAGCCAATAAGAATCCTTTTCACTGTGTTTGTTTTAAACAGGATTGTACAGCATACATCTTTAATGTAAATAGAAAATAAATAGACAAACAAGAACTTTTAATCCTTTTCTTTAATCCACACAGGCTCAAATATACATGTACACTTAAATCTTTTAATGTTGTGCTATAGGTTCTGCAGTATTTCAAGTTGATAAGGTCAAGGCATATTAACTTCCCGTTAATAGGCCTGGAATAAAGAAGGAGGAGGACTACCTCCAAAATTGTCAAATCAGTAAGACAGTAGAACTTTGGACACAAGTGGTTGGTTCAATAAGACAATGATCAAAAACGCATATCAAAACTAGTTTTAAAATAGCAGGCAAACATTAAGCCTTTGGAATAGCCTTTCCGAATCCCCGACCTCAACCGTATTGAAAAATATGTGGATTATGCTTAAAGCCAGATCTGCACCAGGAGACCAAGTTAAATAAGCTACCAATTCTGCCAAGACAAATGGTATCCATCAACAAGCCTCTGGCAGGATATGTGACCAAAAGCAACTGGCAGAGCTGCTACCTGCATACATAATTAATGTGTGTTTGAAACTGAGAAAAAACAATAAATGAATGAAGTTGTGTACCAACTTGTAGTGTTTTGTTTTGTTTTTTTTAATAAATAGTCATTAAAGATGTAGGCTGTACAATTATTCCACTCTGGAAAAAGAACCGCTCAAAGATATCATTAAAAGCACAGAATTACCACGACATTCATGCCCACGATGAGTGGATGTGTCTGACCACATCTGTGAGCAAATGAACATTTACTCAACAAGGTTACAAACACAGTGAACATGAACTACAACTTCAGCTAATGCACTAGACTGGAGCGAGTGCACCTATTGGTGGGTGTTACAATAGTCACATGATAGTTCATTCAACTGCTGAAGTGCAAATTTTGTCTTAAGATCCCCTTACACCAAACATACAGGATGACAGGAGCGCTCCAAAACTTTACCTGAACTGTTGTAATTTTAGTCTTACAGGTGACATTTTTTGCAACTCTGAAATTGCTTTAAAAAGTTGTTAGGTGTAGTAATTTTGAGGGGAACTTTTTTTTTTTTTTTTTTTTTTTAAATGAAGCTTCAACACCAGCCAGAGTGTGCAGTAAAAATCCTGATGAATGCATTTTTCTGTATTTTCTAGCTGCTGCTACTTGCAGACGGCAGCAGCTCACTGAGAAACTAAAAACCACACCAAGGAAACCATCCTTCAGTAACTACCAACTAATCATCCTCTGGATATTGATTCACACACACACACACACACACACACACACACACACACACACACACGGCAAGGGGTCTCTGAGCACGGCGGGCCTGACCAGCCAGCCAGCCGGGCGGTTCAGTTCTACTGTAGTCAGCTCTAAAGGTTCCCATTGATCTGCCCCTTTCCTTTAATAAACCCTGTGCACACGCACGCACAAACACACACGATACAGCTGGAGGAGTTGCCTGTTGTGAGAAGGGTTTCAGGGTTGAGGATGAAGGGAGAGAGGGAGGTGAGAGAGGAAAGGAAGGAGGGATGGAAGGAAAAATAGTGACAATGGAGAAGGAAAGAGATAAAGGATAGAACGAAGGACACAAGGAGGCATTCACTCATTCATTCACCATCTCATGGCTGCAGCTACTTCACAGGACCATCTCTTCTTTTGACCCCCTTACAGATTTCATACTTAAATATGGTTTTATGGGTCTTGCCTGCAAAGTCAAACGAAACAGCCGCTTGTTTTATGTAAATGTATGAAATTTGGCTCACATGTGTGTCATCCCAAAAGGTATAAAAACACCTATGAGAGCCATACCCTGAACACAACAGGAAGGTCCCCATTTTTAATTTACAATGCAACTTTGGTCCAGTTTTAGCAATTTCCAGGCAGTGTACTTTAATGAATTCTTCTTTGCGTTTTTGCTAAAGAGCGTTTCCATGGTGCCAGGGCAAATTTCAATGATTCGTCATGAAACAGTAAAACACAAAAAGTTGCTGCAGCTCAAAACCTGGATCGCCCAATCTGCCCCAAAGTTCATAGATAGAAGTCCTGCCTTGGAACACATGTACATGATAATCTTTGCTTAGAGCGCCACCTAGTGGGAATGGAAATGACAGTTTTCATCATTTTATGCAGTTCGCCTAGAAGGTTAAATCACATCCACCTCATTCAGATTCAGAAGTTTTACTGTGAGAACTAACTTCTTATATATGTTATGTGGTAAAAAGCTCTATGGTGCCAACGAAAAGGTTTCACCTACGACAGGAAAGAAATGTCATATGACATGAACATGCCCCACGGGAACATTGCAGCATACCTCAACTTTATCTTTGCTTGTTTCTTCTTCTACTGTACATATACTGTTGTCATTTACTTTACTCGTCCTTTCTGCTGGCATTAATAGAGAAAAGGTTTGATGACAGAGCTGTAAGTTTGCAAGTTTGAAAAGAAATCTGAATATTTTACAGTCTGGGAACATGAGTGAAAATTTATCTACCAATTGAAAACTCACACTTATTCTTTTGTATTAAGGGGTTGAACATTTTTCCACATTTATTTGCACCTTTTAATAATTACCCGTTGTCAGTCTTCATATTGTTTTACGAATATATATGCAAGCTGGATCTGCATTCTTTCCAATGACCAGCAGAGGGCAACTCCTTTGGTTATAAAATAGAGCCGCAACTACATAGAAGTCTATGGGAAAAACGACCCTACTTCTCACTTGATCTGTGACCTCAGTGAAGAGTTTCTTGATGGGTTTATTGTCCAAGTTGCTCATTTTAACTGTTATTTGATTGATGATGATGCTCATTTTGTCAATTATGGTCATATTTGAAGTAAAAAGGACTGTATAAAGGGCAGTCGGTGGTTAACAACTCAGTTTCTGAGATATATGCAACACTTGCATATGACATTAGAGCCAAAATTCTCAACGCAAGGGATCAAAACATGACTTTAAAAACCAGCGTGGCACTTCATGTTAGGCATCTGCATTTCTTTTAAAGAAAATCTTTGTTCTGCAAACATGGGTCAGGTTAGTGTGTGACAGGTACCTTCATAAAGAGAGGGTTCCCATTCAATGACTCGGCCCTCCTGATGTTCTCCACCCCACACTGGAAAGAAAAATAACAACACATCACAAATGTTCATAACATCTTAGAAAACTGCAAAATTAGGGGACAAACCCCCCCCCCCTTTTCCTCATTCCTTTGCTCCTGTCTGAGTTTCTGTTCTGAACGTGGAGTCAGAACACCAAAGAGTCTCTTGATTGTGGACTTAAAAGGTCAGCATTTGCTGCTTTACTCCATTTTATAGCTTTATGCAGTCATTCGTTTGGCTTTTGAGCTTTAGAAACTCAATAGACCCAAAGAGAAAATGCAGTCACTGCCACAGCTCATATGTGATTCACGACCACAACACATCAGTTAAAATGATCGTCATGATATTCTCCAGCCCACTGGGAAAAACTGGAACTGCACATATCTACCAACAATTTAGACTCACACAGAAAAAAGGTAGTAAACGCTCAGTTAATGCGACAGTCTTGTTTTGGAGTAAATTAATCCAAACACGAGGAATTTAATACATCAGGTGTGTAGAGGTGTTACACATTTTTGGTGGAGTATGGTTTTTTTTTTTTAGCATTTCAGACCTCAAAACTTGGGACTGGAAGACAGATGTGTTTCTTCAGGTTCAAGTTTAGAAACGATTTCGATGGTTCCTCATGGGTATAAGAATGTGTATCTTTATGGCACCAGTCACATTGATTGGTGGCCATTTTACTGGTGCCTTCAGACAGACAGAGGGCACTGGGCTGCTGGAAACAAACCTCACACACATACACACACTTTAGCTAACCAAAACAACCAGTACAAAGACCTTAGCCCTAATTGTAGATCACAAATGCATAAATACGTTTCCCCTATTTAATGAATCTTTCTAAGGACTTTAGAGAAAGAGCAGGTCTGGGTAATTGACTTTCTGCCTGCTTCAGTTTATTTCTCCAAAGGCTGCTGCAGATTTATTCTGTTCTTTTAAATCAGTATTTATGTACCGGTTAATTTTTACATAAAACTGAGGAAATGTATATAAACACTGCTTTTTTCCCCTCTCACCTCTTCTCCCAGCACTTGTCTGTACTCGATGTCCAGCTCGTGTAAGGTCTCTATGTGGTCCGAAGTGAAGGCAATGGGCACCAGCAGCAGGTTCTTCTTCCCTCGCTCACACAGACCTTTGATCACCTCGTCTGTCTGGGGACCGAGCCACGGCATGGGCCCCACCTGAGAGACCACACACAGGACATGGCTGACTTAAGTTCTATAGATGGATGACGTGTCCAAGGTGGTTTAAGGTGTTCCTGGTTCAGTGAGGACGTAAACGACCCTGTGACCTTTCTTGAAATCCCATTAAATATAAAATAAATAAAACTGATACCATGATCTTCTTGCAGGAAGGCTATCTCTGGTACCCTGTGTTACTGTATGTACCACATACTGTGCATTTTCACCCTGTTGGGTTATTCATTCTGCCCTACAGGTAGCCAGTGACAGCTCAGAGTCCTCTTCCACTGTGAAATTTTTATCATTTGTGAATTATGTAAGCTGCCAGGCCCTGTGACCTGAGCACTGAGGAGCTTTGAGGGCTTCTACTCTGAAATAGCAAAAATATTAGTCAGACAAGTGGCTCCATCTTGTGGCAACACAAAACACAAAAGCAGGCCGGCCAGGTCTAAATAATATTAATAGTTTAGCTGCATGCAAGTATAATAAGAAGGTAAAGCTGGATTGGAAGAGTCTGTCTGCAGAACTAAAGAAAAACTGAACACATTTGCCAGGAATGTGAGCACTGCCCAAATCTATTCTTACCTACGGTGACCAGATGGGCTCCAGCTCATGTAGGAAGTAAAGCATTTTGTCACCGATGGTGACATAGGGGACAGTCTAGGCTCCGGTTGCCTAGGTGACATTGAGTATTTCCCATAGAAAATCCCAAGTTAAACTTTACTGAACTTTTAGGCGAATGGAGCGACTACCTATGAGAGCAAAGGATGCTCTTATCTGTATTTTGATGGTGTGGCAAATAAAATAGAGGGTTACCTAGGCAACTGGAGTCTGGAACGTCCCTTAGCAACAACCAGGCAGCTGCAAAGTTAAAAGTGATGAGCAAATTGTTTCTTGTGTTGATGCCCCCCTTACTTGGAACCTGCCCACTCTGCATCACTAGTGGTCACTTAATCCATCATTACTCAGTCGCTGAATGTCACAGACTTTCTTTGGCCTGTGGTGACCATGTCGCTATGTGCGTTTTTGTCTTTTTAAAGTCAGGCTCAGGGTGAAATAATGCCAAAAAGTAAATAAATAAACAAAACAAACAAACAAAAAAAAGCATTTTGACAATGAAAGTTGTGTGAAAAACAGCAAAGCATACGCTCAGTGAATTTAAACCATATTGATAAGCATTACAAACTGATGTGTGATCAGTGTTGAGTATGCAGCGTTACCTGATTATTACAGCACACTGTCACCACTAGGTGGTGCTGCTGGTTTATTCAATTACGTAGCGAGTGATGTTTACTCACCCTGGACTGCCACACCAGTCTGTAGGGGTTACAGTGACCCAGTCTTTCAATGACCCTCTGAACTGTGGCTCCCACCTCCTGAGGATACGGGTCACCTCTGTTTACAACCTGCAGCACAGGGCACACAACAGCATGGCGCTAAGCAACATTAACACATTAAGCAGTTCCTGAATAATGTGCTGGAAGAAAGTACTTCAGCTGGACAAAAACCTTCTGTTGCCTAATGGCATGGTTCAAAGAAAGCTAACAAGGCACGAGGAAATCAGATCTCTCATCTGAGAAGCTTGGCCTATCACAGAGTTTGGGACTTTCCTGGATTTAAAGTGTGAGTAGTTACACTGAACTGCTGGTGACATGTTGGATATAGATGCCAAAGATGTGCTGTCAAACTAACCAATTAAGCAGCAGAAAACAGTTTTATAGGCTTCCTAACAGCAAAGACAAACTGAATTTGCACTGATTTCTGTTGAGATATTTCAGGTTTTTCATCTGTTTTGATGAACCGTCAGGTAACAAATCGGAATAGTTTTTAAAGTGTACTTCTTTACACGAAAAGAAAATGAAGATGAAGTGGGTTTTGTTTTCTAGAGATAAATACTACTACTCCATTGTGAAAGGAAATGCCTATACTGAGAAATATCAGTAAATTTTAGTAGTAATTTGTGGAAAGCACATCAGTTTTTATAAGAGTGTCAGTGTCAGTACCATCTGATCAGTGTCATCAGTAATAAGGACCAGACCCCACTCTGGCTTCATTCGTTCCTTTCCAAGAGTCAGTCCCCAGAAACTGTGACAGCAAATGCCAAACTTTACAGTCTGGTGACAAAAACCTGTTCTCATTTTTATAATCCACCCCTTCAAATGTATTAAAGTTTAAAAGTTGGGGTGATGGGTGTGATACCGACAGCTGCTGCAAGCTGGAGTCACTTCACTCGATTTTATGACCCTTTTAAGCCTTTTACTTGAATTATCTGAGAAATATAATGAGTGTTATGCAGTACAGAGCTTAGAGAAGTCTGTGGTCCAGTTCTGGTGAGTGAAACTTGAGTATTTTATTAGCATGTTACTTTGAGGCTAGAGCAGTACTGATAGTAGTTTTTCATACTTACAGCCATGGGGAGTGAGTGTGCCGAGAACAGAATGACAACATCATCTCTCTTATCTTCTGGAAACTTCAGCAGTTCATTTCTGATATGTTCTGCAAAACACTGGACACAGACACACACACTTAGGGTGTATTATAAACACAGCTAGTGAAATTTACCTCAGCTGATAAAACACAGTCAGGACAAAAAGCTGCCATGATCACCCACCACAACTGCTTTCTGGTCATTTAGCTGCGTGGTGACTTACTGACTGACTCTGTTTTCTTACACACTATATTACCAAAAGCATTCACTCACCCAATCAAATATACCAATCTCTCCCACTGCCACAGGTGTATTTATTTATTTAAAAAAAAAAAAATAAAAAAAAAATAAAAAAAAAAAAGGCACCCCTGGGCATGCAGACTGCTTCTACAAACATCTGTGAAAGAATGGGTCGCTCTCAGGAGCTCACTGAATTCCTTTCTGCACAGAGTCCTGACCTCAAACCCTCTAGGATGAATTAGAGCAAAGACTCCAAGCCGGCCATCTCGCCCAACCCAACATCAGTGTCTGACCTCACATGTGCACATGTGGAAGACTGGTCAAAAACTCTCATGAACACTCCCAAACCTTATGGAAAGCTTTCCCAGGAGAGCTGAAGCCTTTACAAACGGTGGGTCAAAAATCATATTAAGCCCTATGGATTAAGAATGGGATGTTACTCAAGTTCATATGGATGTGAAGGCAGATGAGTGAATACTTTTGGCAGAATCGTGTACATCAGTACTAGTTTGTTTTACTTTGCATGTGTGTACACACATGTTTAGACATCTTTGTGAGGACAGAAATTGGCCTCCACTGTACCAAATGCCCGTCCCAACAAGTTTGAAGGCAGTTTTGCAGCATAAAATGTGGTTGTAGTGTCAGGGTTAGAATTAGCCTAATCATAAGGGTTAGGGTAAGCGGCTAAGGAAAGCATTATGCCAATTAGATGTCCTCACTAAGATATGAAAATGAGTGCGTGTGTCTCTAACCTCCACCAACAGAGGGTGTGTGGGCCAACGGTCGATGACACTCCAGCGCATTTTCGGCCTGTCAGCTCTGTTGCTGTAGTAACGGTAGATGGCGTTCAGACTGCTGCCTGTGAGCAAAAGAAAACACATTGAGAAATACTTCATTACACAGGAATAAAATCTCTCTGCTGCTGCCAATCACTAATCAATAAATTTCCTCAAAGTTTCTTCCTCAGATGCATATTTTGTAACCCAAAAACAGTCTGTGGGCACCGATTCATGGATGGATTGTGGGTTTGAAGAGTGTGCCTGCCTCACGTGTGAGCTGGGCATTCTTGGAACAGTCTGAGAACATGCTGAGTGTGATTTAGTCTGGAGAGAACAGAGTGTATTTATCAGGAGCTCGCAGAGCAGACAGCACCCTGGGTGTGGCGGCATTAACGGACACAAACGTCTGAGTAATCTTCTGATTGTTCCTTTTACATGTTCTCTACATTTAACAGACATCATTTCCTGCTTGTGTCACCTGTGGTGGAGCAGCTGTACTGAGGATACTGCGTGAAGGCCACAGCTCTCTCCACTCCCTCTTTCTCCATCTCCTCAATGGCTTCCTCCGTCAGCGGGTGAACGTACCGGAAGCCGATGTAGAACTTGTGAGGAGCTGCGCAGAGAGAAGAAACAGCCAATGACCAGACAGCACGGGAGAAACTCACTGGCAACATTACAGTTTGAATATGCAGGATATGCAGTTTAATTGAAATCTTCAAATAAAAATAACATTTCAGGAGCTTAAAGGGAGGTTTTTATGAAGATTATCGTGCTTTTAGACCAAATTCTAACAGATCTGGTCAGCTTTCAGATTGCTGCTGTGTTATCAGTGAGGTGTGCTGCAGGCGTGTGAGGAGACACTCCTTCGCTGTCTTACTATCTCCATTTCACACACACTTTGCCAACAACAGCCAAGCAAACCATAATCTCAATAAAAGCACACAAACTGCCTCCAAACATGACTTTAACTCCATGTAAGCTGTCAGATTTGAGGAGGAGCGGAGGCCTCTGTGAGGCATCCTCACCCGTCTCAGGGCTCATCTCGTCCAGCAGCTTCACCATGCCCTCCCCCTGCATGGACGTCCAGTGTTTGATGGGCGAGCCTCCTCCGATCTTGCTGTACTGCTCCTGGATCTTCGGTGTGCGCCGCTTGGCGATGAATGGGCCGAGTTTACTGCAGAGCGGGAGGCAGATCGCACAGCTGCAGTTACACAACTCACACTTAATGCATCACAGATTTAATACAGTGAATTATTGCGCAGCAACGAAGAAGAAGAAAAGCAAATGACCTGTAACAGCACTATAACGTGTGATTTCTGGAGCTTTAAAGGGTCAAGGTTCATTATTAACATTTTCAGTAAGATGTGCAGTTTCCATGGACACGGAGGTGAGATTCATGTCCACAAGCGTCACCAAACACCAGACAATAAATCTAGTTTAGAGTTTCCAGCATGGACTTTCTGCAGCGAGAAGCAAGAAGCACTAACGTTTGCACCGTTTTTGTGTTTCCCACCCCAGGGAAACCTGTCAGACAACTCTGCTCAAAATGGCCAGAAGCAGGAAAGGTAAAGTGACCACCAAGTACACAATGATGGCAGGAATTTATTATTTTAACATTTCTATTGTCAGGTCTAGTTGGATTCATCCTGTTACATCATGAAATGCTGTTGTAGTCCAACGAGCAGATGCTGCATGGATGAACAAACAGACCTTACTGAGCACTGGTGCAGGGTTACAAGGAGTTTGTGCCGTCATATTTGAGCATTTTAAAAGGCCAAACAATAAAACAGAAACACAAAACGGTCTAAAATTATACAAAACATGCACAACACGACCCCCTAGCAGGTCAGTATTATTCTGTCCAGCTTCTGAGGATGGTTTGTCTCAGTGCTGGACAACATGGAGACGGACACTCGTGTTGTTTTCTTACACAGAGCAGAGATTACAATCATGACACTTAAAAATAAATAAATAAATAAATAAATAAATAAATAAATAAATAAAAGGAGATTCTTCACACAAAGAGCTTCACTTCTGGGTGAAATAGAAGTTAAAGGGAGGGAGCTCTGCTCTGTGAGGTTATACTTAGACACAGCTGTCATTTGACCCCCTGCTAATGTTAGCATGCTGAAATGCTCACCATCCTAACCCGGCATGTTAGCAGCAAACAAAGAGGAGCAGTGGCTGATGGGAATCTCTCTACTTTACAGTCAAACAGCTTCAAGTGTAAGAAAGGCTTAACCCCCGAGGTCCAACCGAGGTCAGCCGACTGACAGACAAACGCGTTTAGTCATTTGTGTTTCAGTTACAGTTCGACTTTGACATTTCTTCAATGTTTTAAAAATGTTCCAAAACTGTACAGAAAGTTGCATTATGTGCATTTATGTGCAGGGCAGCACGGTGGTGCAGTGGCCAACCCCATCACCTCACAGCATGGGTTCTTCTGTATGGGTACCCCAGCTTCCTCCCACAGCCCAAAACCATGCACGAGGCCCTTCAGCAGACTGGTGAGCTGTCCAGGGTGTACCCCGCATCTTATCCTGTGACAGCCCCACCCCAAGACCCTGAACTGGATGCATTAAGCGGGTCTTAATTTCTGGAAAGCTCTTCACAGAGTGAACTCAGTTCAGATCAAACTGCTGGTTTGGAATGACGTCCTTGGTTAAGTCACAGGACACATTTGCACCCAAATATCCAGACTTTCGCTATAGCGCTTCATTCCCTCGGGGTCGGGACCGCCCGAGGTCTAAATAAAGTCAATAAGTGGCTCATAAAACATTCATATTGAGGTGGAGCAATCTTTGAAGTCAAAGTGTGTGATCTTGGGTCAGTCACGCCTGCTTTAAAAAGGATCAGTGCTGCTAAAAACCACAAAGATTTTTCTTCTCAGTGGGACGTTATGAAATACGGACACAGCACAGAGCCGTCACCCAACAAACTTCCTCAAACCGCCCGCCCCCACTGTGTGTGCTTACATATGTGTAAACCCAAAAATAAAGCAGTTGCTTTTAATTCATCACATAATCTAAACAGAAAACATCTGGGGAGTTTCAGAAAAGCACAAGAGCATAACATAATCCACTAGATCCCCACAAAGCCCTGCTGAAATAATGATGACAGAGGACTGTTTGAAGGAAGGACCTCTTATCAGAGCTTTATATCCTGTTTACATCCTGTCCACCGGAGAGTTCACATTACGGGCTAAATGCATGGAGCGAGCGCTGGGAAACCGAGATCCCAGCTGTTAAACACCGACCACCTCAACTCTAAGGTCAGCTGTTTGCGTCACTATATTTTGTGTTCACATTTGCAAATAATTCCTTGCATTTAAGGCAGCGTGATCTCTGTGTGCGTACTTCTGTACTGGGAGTTTCATCAGGTCTGTGTCCATGAAGAGGCGTAACAAGAAGTCGTGAACATCTTCTAGCTTCTCGGGTCCTCCCATGTTCAGCATCAGGATCCCCGTCTTCGGTTTCCTGCAGACAGGAGAGAGTCACGATCAATAATTCACATCTAACACCCCTAAAAGATGTGACACTGTGTAGAAACTGTGCACTAGGCCAAATCTAGGTCAGAAAAATTATGGATGGAAGCCAGGGGGACTGGGAAGATATTTCAAGGGGGAGCTTCTGTTAGGTAAATTTAATCATTTAAGAACAAAAGGCATAAATTATTGGAATAAATAATGAAAAGTTGAGCCAAACAGGATCTAAACCAGACTCAGTGCTTCAATGCGTTTACACCCCACAAAGTACAAAGTCAGGTCATTCAGCAGTCTGTATTTTAATGTTAATCAATTGCAAATTAACAAATCTGATCTAGAGTTTAGGGCTGTACTATATCATACCGTTCACGGTAATACTGGTGTAATTTTGGGCAACGATAGGAAAATGAAATATCGCGATAGAATATGGGTAAAACGCGCATGAGCAGTGCCTTTGTTTACATAAGCACATGGCGGCGACGCAGAATGAGAAGAGCGAAAACAGATCGTTGAATGAAACGGATGAATCAGAATTGGTTTGTAAAAATGCTGCAACTTCAGTGGTGTGGAACTGGTTTAGCTTTCGTCCGTCAGATACACAACAAAGCACTATTTTTGGTAGAGCATGCTAGCGGGCCGTCGTTATTACCGTGTTGTTTGGAAAATACGGCACACTTAAAATCAATCCTTTGATTTTTCTGAAAATCAACAGGTCCCCTTATAATCCTGTGTGCCTTATGTATGAATTCTGGTTTTGTTTACTGACCTTGAAACGATTTTATGTGGTACACGGCACTCGAAAATCTGTCAAATGTTTCAGTACGACTTTGCTAAGCTACGAACCCGCACCGCTTGATGGATTGTTGGAGCAGTACGGCTATATTAGGCAGGAGCCTCGCGGAGTGATACGTACTGTGCTTCAACATAATATTACCGTATTGTGTGTGTATAACCTCTTCAAGTTTTGTGGATATTATACATGGTTATGCTGAGGATCTGTCGGCCAGTTTCCACTGGAAATGTCTTTTGGTTAAACTGTCAGCAAGGATTTTGCACTGTTACATTTTTATATAACTTTAATGCACAAAAAAAACAGCTGCTTGTTTAAGTGAAAATACATTGATGGGTTTTTGCACTGATAAAAGTTGTGGAGTTGTAAAGTATTTTGTCTAGTGTCAATTATGTCGTCAGTTATATCGTTATTGCAAATTTTCAAATGTATATCATGATAAATGTTTTTGGTCATATCGTCCTGCTCTACTAGAGTTAATAAAGGTCATTTATCTTTCTTTCCTCACATACAACAAGTTCTGATGTTTATGCCCACTTCTCATTAACAAAAATGCATTTTATGCTTTAATAAATGAAAGTCCAGTTATGAAAATTGGTAGTGAAGGGTAAACATTTCCCCTAACAGAAGAAAACCTGCTTGGAGGAGACGCCAATGTATTTATGCACAAAAAACTGCATAAAAGCATTTATGCTGTAGACCAATGTGGGCAAAGCTCAGCAGGAATTATCTGCCTGCTGCTTTTCCATCCTCTGACGCTACATCACTGCAGGCCTTACAGCCGTAGCAGCTCCGAGAAACATGTTTCACTGCTAAGGTTTTAAACCCTTCAGTGAGCTTTGAACTCCAATAATCTGCTGTCGCATTCATAAATATAGCTTAACTGTCAGCTCGAGGAGGACAGAATTTTATAAAGAGGCGTGAGGCGGGTCCTGTGTGAGAAGATGTCGACAAACTGGTGAAAACAGTCCCTGTCATTTCTAATGAACCCCAGCAGGTCAGACCAGGAGAAACGATTTCACAGAAGATGAAAGGAAATCCACCATTATTTGTTCTTTAATCATTACAGGACGTCTTCTCCCCTCCTCACTCCTGACAGGCTTTCACCTTCTTTTAGACTCAAGATGCTTTGTGAAACGTGTTTTTTGTTTTTTTAGACAAGGTCAGGAATCTTTGTGTATACAGCCCTGCACACTGGTGTGGAGCGGTTTTATTAGACTTTGCTTCTGAAATAAAAGGAATAAATCAATCAGTAGGAGAGCAGCTAAAGCAAACTTAACATAGATGATAGAAAGTACGAATCTATCGGGCTAGTATCGATCTAATACCAATACTTGGATTGATCCACCCACCTCTGGCACTGACTCTGTGTTTAGAGACCCCTTTAGCCATTTACACCTATTTCATATTTTGTGTGTGTGTGTGTGTGTGTGTGTGTGTGTGTGTGTTTGTGGACGCCGGGTATAAACATCTTTGTGGGGACCAAAAATTGGAAGTTTACTATACTTGTGGGTACTAGTGGTGTGCGGATCGATATTGAAATATCGATTCTTCTGATACCAGTCATTTATGTTCTAGAATCAATTCTCATATTAAAATATCGATATTTTAGTACTTTGGGGTAAATTTGTAGTTTTTCATTAACAGGAACAAAGTGGAAAGAAACTATATCATTCAGATTGTCTAAATTGGAAGGAACTATTTCCTCTTACGCCTTTCATAGTCATGTGCAAAACACAGCTGTATAAATGTGTCCAGCCCCTGGCGTGCGCACTCACAACAATGGCTGAGCATAAATGGAGTCATGTGTGCACGTATTTTACCTCCACAAACGGCCGAGGCGCGGTTTGCGATACATGTGGCAAGACAGTGACGTGTTGTGGCAACACCACTAACCTCGTCAAACACCTGAGAGTAAATCACATCACAGAATATGACGAGCTTATGTTGAGGTGAACTGAAGAGGAGGAGAGGGACAGGTGCTGCTAGGGCGAGACAGACGTCTCTCAGGACTCCCTGAGAGACGTCTGTCTCTCAACATGTTCAAATAGGGCACAACTTCAGGTTTTTTATTTCTACATGATAATTCTACATTATTAAGCAAAAAGAACAAGTAGTCTGATGTCCTGTAATCATTATGAAGCTATATTATTACAATTTCATAATACAATTATATATTGTATTATGAAATACAATGAAACATTAAGTTTTTGTACAGAGTATCGGTATCGGATCAGTATTGTCGATACCACCCTGGATTTTACTTGGTATCGGATCAGAAAGGAAATCAGTGGTATCGCACATCACTAGTGGGGACCAACAGCCCTTGTGGTCCCGGTCCCCACAAGTTTGAAGGCATTTTTGAGACTCAAAATGTGGTTTTAGTGTCAGGGATACAATTAGGTTATGGTTAGGTTTAGGCAAAGGCTTAAGGGTAGGCATTCATTTTTGATATTTAGGGTAAGGATAAGCAGCTAGGGAAAGCATTATTTCAATTAGATGTCCTCGCTAAGACATGAAATCGAGTGTGGCGTGTGTGACCTGTTTTCCTGCGTCTCTGGAGTCTGGGCGTAGGCGGCGGCTGCAGCAGTGGAGCGTCGTCTCAAACTCAGACTCAAGCTGCTCCTGGCAACTGAAGAACAAGAAACAGTGCGATTCATCGGAACAACAATTAGATGATTTTATTAGCTCAAGAATCAGTGAGTGAGCGTAACGATCAGTTTGTAATGAGTGTAGAGTTCAACCATGGATCAGTTTTAAGGTGAAGAGAAGGCAAATCTGTTGTTACATTAAACTCAAAAGTCTCTCTTCCAGAAAAATCACAGAGGTAACACAGCCAATGCTACTCTCCAAAGAAGTACTGTGAAACTACAGTTATAGCTGTAATAACAATCTTAATTTCTATTTTGCTTATGGATTAAAATAGTACATAATAATAATAATAATAATAATAACAACAACAACATTTTACCGTTGCATTTTGGCTCCTTTTTAAATCTGTCATGGCTGCACTGGTTCAGGCTTTGTGCAGATAAATGGGCACTGATATGAGCATAGAAATGCAGATAAAATGTAAGCGCTCACACAAAATCACAGCTGGATTCAAGCTGACGATTTTTTGGTCTTTCTGGTCTTAACGTGTAATTTAATTGCCTTTTTTAAAATTTCATTGTCATTCTGGGCATTTTGGGGGTTTATTGAAAAACAAAATATTAAACACACAAAAAAAATAATGATAGATGTGTGCGTTTAAGTTATGGCCTTCATTCATTATCATCTGTGCACATGCATGGTCTGAATCAGTTATAAATCTGTTCATAGAGTATGAATGAGGCAATTTTGCCCCCACCTGGGATGAAACAGTCTATATAAATAAAGATTTGTTTGCTTCATCTCATCATGTTTGGACTGTTATAATTTCCTAACCCACTCAGGCCTCAAACCCCAGCTGCTGGGCAAGAGTGAACTTAACACCAGCTTCCTGGCAGATACAGAGTTTACTTTAAACTTTTTAAAAGTACCCATAAATCCTAAAGTGGTCTCAGATTAGTGGATCTGTTACAGATTTATTTATGGATTATGAAGCTGAAGTCATGAATGAGCTTTTAAACTGTTATTGCCGTTTTAACTGCGTGCATTCTCTTCTTTAGATCGTTGCCCTTTTTTTTCAAATATCCTGGGAAACACTTTGAAAGTACTTCTTGAAAGCTGTCGTGGAAATAAACTTTATTATTCTAATAATAATGATAATAACTATACAGTCTAACCGATGCGTTCAGCCGGCTTCACTTTCATAACCGCTCCCAGCAGTACCGCGCCGCACCGCCAGGGGGCTCGCTGAGGTTACGCAAGTTCACAGAGCTGCAATTGTGTAACTTCGAGTCTTTCTTTCTTCCTCCCGGCGCTAAAACGCGAAGTGTATGTGCACACTGGCGATAGTTTCAGGCCACCTGACGCTCACCAAATGCAGCCTAGGCATGGGATAAATCCCTTATGTAACGCTCACGTTCGCACGGCAACCTAAAGGGACGCAGCTCTGCCGCGTCAAGCTTGTGGAAATGAGCCGCAGAAACACCAACGTTTACAAAATAAGAGAGCAATCATGGTAACACATTCAGATAATTTTAGCCTTTCCGCCTAACCGCATGGGTATTATACACAAAACCTGGGTTCGATGTATTCCAAAAAAGACGACGGTGACGGTAAAAAAAAAAAAGTCAGTAATATGGCAAAATAAAGGAGGTTGTTAAAAGCGAGGGGCACATCCGGCCAGGAAGTTGTTATGCTATCCCCTGAGCTAACTTTACATTTACAAAATATTGATGTCAATGTCAGAAGCGTGCTGTTGAGTTTCTGGCAAATAAAAATAAAATAATTCAGTGACTGTAAACTGTGTAAAATAAGCGCTGTGATGCTGTTTATGCCCTGACATTAAATCCTCAGAAAACCAGTAAAACTTGGAAGTTTTCTCTTCAGGCTAACTTGGCGGCGCAATCACACTCACATTGGATCGAACGACCGGCGCTGCCCAGGGCTGCCATCATGTTCGCTTTCACTGACGCAAAAAACGTCTCCGCGCCTGCTAAGATTAAGGCTGGATGCTGAGACTCTCTGCTGCTGGATCCACAGTAACTCACGGTACTATCCGACACCACAGCCAGATTCCTTCAGCTACCGCCGGCTGCCTGCAAGGACTTCCGTTAAGCGTTATAACAGCTAATGAAAAACAACTTCCGGTTTAGAGTTTCGAAACAAAATCTAACACGAGCTAAACGTTACAAAAACTGCATTGATGTAATGTCATCTTTTTCATTAGATTTCACCTGTATATCTTCTTAAAATATATTTAAACGCTTTAAAAACTAAAATATGTGTCCTGGATAATTTCCTCATAAGAGGATGTCACTATTATATTTTTTAATGATTACACTATGAAGGATATTTATCAGGCACTTCCGAACTGGAAGTGGTATTACAACATAGGACATTTAGGTTTTTTTGTCCCCTAAAGTCGGATTTTTATTTTTTACATTCCTATTCAAGCATGTAGTATTAGTCTTTGGTCAATGCATTTTATTATTTGTAATTAAATCTTCTCAGCAATATTTTTTCCCTCAACGTTCAACGAAAAAAAAGCCAAAATAAATAATAAAAGACAATCTAGAATAAAGACAATGAAACACAACATAAAATAAAATCAATCAAAACTAAAACAAAACAACAAAAACAGTAAAACTGAAGCTTTTTTTTTATTGTAAGTAAATACATAAATAAATAACAACAAAATTTATAAAAGGAAGAAAAAAAGAAAAATACAAGGTCATACAAAAGATTACACAAATTATAGAAAACCATGTCAGTTCCAGAGATTAGTGAACTATTTTACTCTAATTACAACTATTTGGGATTTAAGAAGGTAAGTATACAAAAAATAATTGAATAAATTAAACTGAACATATATTTCACATTTCTCATTGTATTTATGACAGTAAAATTATATATAGAAACGGATTGTAAGCTGCATTGTACAAGCCCTTTGCTCGATATCTATTTTGTTTTTGCTTTAAACTGAGAAAAAGAAAAGAAAAAGAACACGTGCTTTTATTATAGAAATAGCTTGAGTCAATTTCCGGTCTGTTGCTTTGTTACCGTGGCGTGCTTAACGTAGAATCGTTATCTCAGTGTGGCGTCATCTTAACGTTAAAGGACCCCGCCCACGGCCGTGCTGGTCACGCCCACAGGCGGCGTGTTAAGAGACATGTGTTAGGAGATAAAGTATCAGAGTTTAATCAGAGCTGGAAACAAGAAGAGAAACGTTAATTTAAACAGAAAAAGCGAAACACACAATGTGCTCTATAATTGTGACACACCTGATCACCTGACACTGCAGCTGATCCAACCTGATCCCCACTATTACGCCCCTCTGCATTTAATTATGAGTTATTCATAATTAACATTTCACATGTTCATTGACCTGCTGTGTATTTTATGCTGCACTTTCTGGTGCAAAAGTGGCCAAAGGCTTACCATGCTGATCATAAACAGCCTGTTACGACTGCTTTGCTCTGTCAGAACATGTGTTTTGATGGGTTTTTTTAAAGCGTCTACAAACATTTGCCTAACAACCTCCCGGTAATCAAACTAATTAAATAAGGGATTAAAATGCTATAGAAGTGTGTTTTAAACAGCATCAGGCCTTACTAAAGAGCTCAAAAAACTATTTCCTTGAATCAGAATCTCGTTTGAATGGCCCACATTCCTATTAAATAATACCAGTTTCTCCAGTTTGCATAATGTTTCCTTCTTCCTTAAAAACATTTTTACAAGAAGAGGAAGTTAAATTAAGCAGAAACACAAAGAAAGAAACAAAAGCTGCCAGATGGGGAAGTTCTCACAGACGCAACCTGTCGCCATTTGGGTTCTTTCGCTTCAAAGTCTTTATAAGCAAGTGTTGGATTATCTCAGCCTCTAGTGGTCATACGTGGAACTGCAGCGCTGCAATTTCCTTCTGTTTTGTGAGGAGCAGCCAATCAAAAGAAAGTTGGTGCAAAAACATCAGTCCTAAGGTTGACATAAGATAAATAGGGCCATGGACATGCCCTCCAACATGAACTCAAACGCTTTGCAATATAGCATCACTGTGATCTTTAGACTGATCCGACCAAAAACCAAGCTGATCTGATGAAATGTCTACGAGGATTTTGTCAAAGTATCCGGCCTGGAAGGAGCAAAAACGGCATCTTAAAGTGTTGCTTTGTTGGAACTTTGTAGGGGCGGTGTTGTAGCATGTGGAGCAGCAACAAAAGGCACAGATTTTCGCAAGATGATGAGCATGACATGGGGCCAGACGTTGTGTGAACTTAGTAAAAATAGTTAATATAAAATATCTTTCATTAAAATGTCCTGTAGTGTTTGTTAGGTTAAATAATTAAGGTTTTGTTACGGTTAAAAGGAGAAAAAAAAAAAAAAGGACACAAGCCCAAAGCAGCCACGTCTGAATCACATTTTTATTTAACTTCAGTTGATCGAGTAAGAGTTTATTTATTTCAGATGAAGAGGCAGAACAGAAACACAATAAGACCCCCTGAGGCCAACACGTACAGTATGTCACACTTCTAAACCACCAATGACGAACAGTTTTGAGAAAATGTTCCCAGGACCACGTGCAGGAGAAGCAATGCTGAGGCTGTGAATTTCTCCTGAGTCCAGACTTCAGGAGGACGGACGCACCGATGAGTCTCAGGAATAAAGTGGATTTGTTTTATTCTTCGATTTATATTTTTCAGCTTTCTGTTCAGGAGCACCTGAAATATTCTTAAGGCTGACTTATTTTAGTAAATGTCGTGGCTGCAGGTTCAATGTTTAAAGCCAAATTTCCCGAAGAAAAACAAAGAATTTAAGGTGGACTGAGCTAATATTTTGCAACATTCAGAAGCAGATACTTACAGGAAACAACTGTTTATTTCTGGTTTAATAATCAGACACTGAACATGATCAGATGCACTTTTGAAGTCACAGGAGGAAGCTGTGAAGGTTAGAGGCGAAGCACAGCTGGCGTCCGACTTTGTTTCTGAGGAGTTGCGTGGTGAAGTTTTAAACTCTTCAGATTTCAGAAATGAAAGCTACACGGGCAAACTATGGATTCGGTTTCATTTAATGTGCGCTGCCACATGCGGGTGTACTGACTGCATGTGTGTGTGTGTGTGTGTGTGGGCGTGTGAGTGCTCAGGGTCGGCAGCGCTGGATGAATCGCGGGTACAGGCAGACGTCTCTGATGTGGTGTCTGTTCAGCAGCCAGGTGAGGAAACGCTCCAGACCCAGACCATAACCGCCGTGAGGACACGTGCCATACTTCCTCTGAAACACACACAGAAGCCTGTTGAAACACACAGCTACCAACAACTACACACATGCAGTGATGCAATAAAGCCAAACGTTAGGGCTCATTCCAGGTGGGCCTTAAAATCTTGACTTCCTGTTTGGTGGTCCTCGGAGACAAAAAGTTTGGAAGCCACTGCATCAGCCATAAGAGAACCACTGTTATCTAATGATAAAGCTGAACAAGGATTTGGTCCCCAAGTCCTGAACTGTCTTTCTTCTGGCTAACGTCGACTAGCGCATGTTTGATAACCTTATTCAAGCTAACGTTACAAACTGCACAAAGTAAAGATGTAGTGAGGTGCACAAAACATCTGAGGTCAAACCAGTGTTCATTTACCTGGTCTGTGTACCAGTAGTATGGAGTCGGGTCGATTCCCTCCCTCTTGTATCCCTCCAGCAGCTCTTCAGCGTCCCAGATACGCATCGACCCTCCCACGATCTCACCAACATTTGGCATCAACACGTCGACCTGCAGCACAGACAAACATACGATACTCGAGGGATCCAGGTAACTCACGTTTTTTGTTTTTGGTAAAACAGAGACAGACCACTGTGTGTTATACTTGTATAACTATGCATGTGACAAATAAAGAACTTTGAACCTTTACTGTGTTTAATGAATATATCAGATCATATCTTAATAAGGCCGCTGGTTGTTTCCTGACATGCCGCTGTATCACAACTGCCGTTCTGCTGTCCTGCCTTTATTTTTAAGATAAAACATTGTTTTTAGTCACAGATGACCTGCTTTAGTGAAGCTCTACACCTCGTCTCTCACACCACAGGTCACTCACACTCTCCTGCCGAGCCTTTAACTCACTCATCACCAACTTACTTATACTTTAAGTCTTTACCTTTTTACCTACTTAATGCTCAGGTTGAAGTGAAGAGCTCATGCTCCTCTTCACACAGAAACTGTACTTTTAGTGAAGGACATGACCTCCCCGCTCTCTAACCAGGCTTCAGCCACACCGCAGCTGGATCTGTGAGGTTCGTACCGACTCGGTGAGGCGTTTGTCCTCGGTGCAGCGCTGCATGTAGAAAGACTTGATCTCGGCCGGGAAACGACAGAGCAGGATGGTCTCGTTGATGGTGTCGGTCATCAGCCTCTCTGGAGCCTCGGGGATGTCCTGACAGAGGGAGAAATATCGACACAACAGGCAAGTCAAAGAAAGAGAGAGAATCAAAGAAAGACTTCATGAATATTCAAAATAAAAAACTCTTCAGGTAGGAGAAAACCGTATTTATAAATTGTAAATGATTGCAGAACATCTGAAAAGACCAAAGTTTGACAGCTGAGCTTTTTAACAAGTTGTACAACAGTGCCCTCTACAGGCGTCTCTGAAAACCGCAGCTCTCTGCTACTGACAGGATCTTTGAAGATCACTTTCCTGTTTGTCTGTCACAAGTGTAGGCCGGCTTAGACGTTCAGAGGAGCTGGTGTGAATAATACTTTAAGGAATGAAGATGTGGGTGTTTTTGGAAAATTTTTAACATTTTAATCGAGGGGACTGTTTTAAAACTTAATAAAACATTGATGAATGTTTAATGGATTGTATGCACTCATGAATTTGAATTGTTTGGAATATGTTTGATTAATTTTTTTTTTGATATCAGACGTTTTGGGGACTTTATAAGATGAGCTGAGCAGCTGAATGATGTGCTGTGTTCAACCGTCACCTCTCCGAACTCGTAGTAGGTGCCGTCGTCCTTCTTGACGTCATGCTCTCTGAGCCACTCGATGGCTTCGCTGTAGTTCATCCTCTTGAACGGCCTCTTCGGGGGTTTGAAGTTCTGGAAAAGCCATAGTCACCAAACAAAATAT